AAAACGCAAACTAGAGGTCTCTATCTCAGTCCAGTAAAAAATGGCAGCTGATTGAAATCTTTAGAAATCAGAATTAACTTGCAATATTATATTCATTTGGCTTCCATATTTTACTGTGTTAAGATAAAAACCTCTAGATTGCATTGTTAGTTTTCTTTTATTACGACCTTCAAAATGAGGGGTCATGCGATGGGGCTTATCATTTAAAATTTTTGAGTTCCCCCCATAATCTCCCATTATGGGTATGGGAACCAAGAAGCAATTAGGCTGCCATTTTTTACTGGATTGATATAGAGACCTCTAGTTTGCGTTTTTGGTTTTCTTTTACGAGTACCTTCAAAATGAGGGGTCACTCAATAGGTCTTACCCTTTAAATTTGTTTAGTTTTTCCCAAAATCCCCCATTTTGGGTTTGGGAACCAAGTAGCAATTAGGCTCAAAACGTACTTCATAACATGCAATAAAGTTTGGTAGAGTTTAGTTTTCCTAGTATGAACCGTTAACAAAATTTACAGGGGATCTCCAGACTTGGAAAGCTGTAAGTTAAATTTAACTTCTATAAATTTCATTCGGCTGCCATTTGTTACTGGATTGATATAGAGAGTTCTAGTTTGCGTTTTTGGTTTTCTTTAACGAGGACCTTCAAAATGAGGGGTCACTCGGGTCTTACCATTTAAACTTTTTGAGTTTCCCCCAAAATCCCCCATTTTAGGGATGTACACCAAGTGGCGTTTATACCCAAAAAGTACTTCATAACATACCATAAAGGTGTGCCGAGTTTAGTTTTCTAGTATGGGCCGTTTAAAAATTAACAGGGGGTCTCCAGACTTTTTACTAACCCTGTATATACTGTAGTAGTCAATGGTACAACCAGTATGGCTTTTATGGAATCGCTTTTAGTAACCAATCACAAAGAGAATAATTTATTAGTTGAGTTATCGTTTCAGGTTTCAGCTAAGCTTCTGGATGTTCGATTGTCGTAACTATACAATATGGAATTCTTTGACTTATACTTGATACCACATTTGAAGAAGTCCAATGCTTGACTTTAGAAACGCACCTTGATTACATTCAGTTATTACAGTTACATTCGAATCTAATCATTGTTAGCGCCATTTCATTATGTAAACATTGACGATGGTTATCATATTAAGACCGTATCCAATTTCATTACCCTAATTGTCATTGTTATAATTTATCTAAAATATTATTATGATTAGAATACTATTAATAAATTCCGAACGTATCTAGTAGAAAAATATAACATTTCACTAAAAATAAAGTGTGTGCGGTGTGTCGATGTAGTAAGAAAGGGAAAAAATAACCTGCTAAACTAATCAACAATTTTGTCCATTTATTTTATAGCATGAACAGCCATAGCATGTAGCGCGTAGGCCAATTTTTAGTTCCAAAAACATTCCTCTACCTACGGTCAAATCAATTGTTTATTTGTTCTAGGAATAAACAAATAGATCGCACCAGCGATAACATAGACACAGACAGTAGTACCAACCCAGCGAGCACTAAAGACCTGTACCAACCTCACAACACACCTTTAAATCCACCTGGCAAACTTTCAGCAGTGGTAGCCCACTCTAGGCCTACCACTTTCTTCCTGCCTACCGTTACACCGAATAAGTAGTTGTGCTTTATTAAAACAAAACTGGATATTGATAGGTGGTTCAACTTTAAGAAAGTTCTAAAGGCCTACTTCCTACTAGTATTGTTTTGAAATATACGTGAAACCACGTTCATAAGATTAATTGTAAGAGAGGGCCATGTGGATCTAACTTTGCCTGTTTAAATAAATCATTTCCAATCATTCATTCATTTTATTTGGACAGTCTGTTGATTATTATCGAGGAAGACAATGCGACGTTTGGTTTTGAGAGCAAACTAACACAAAATCTACAAAGCAGATTTTGCTCTTACAAGTTTTGCAATAAAATTCTTCAATACAATCACAGAAAAATGAATGCAAGCTCTAGTCCAAAGTCAAATTCTATAACTATGCAGAGTGTTTCAGTAAAGGGTAGCGGGCTATGCAGATTCAGATTCTACATGCAAAAATAAGTCGAAAATGTAGAATAACCTTTTTTCGATTTCGGCTTAGTTTAGCTGTAATCCGCCATTTTGTATTTTCTTTTTAATAGGTAATTAATAACTCAAAAATCCTTGGAGATATTTTTATGAAACTTTGTATAAACTTTAAGTCTACAGGTACAAACATTCTCCGAAAATAACTTTGATCAGGCTCATCAAATTTCAAAATGGCGGCCATATAAAAATTTTTAAGTAAAATTCAATGAAAACCGGCCATTTAAACAACATTTTTAATGGTCGCCATTTTGAAATTTGTGGAGCCTGATCAAAGATATTTTTGGAGAATGTTTGTACCTGAAGATTTAAAGTTTATACCAAGTTTCATAAAAATATCTCCAAGGATTTTTGAGTTATTAATTACCTATTAAAAAGAAAATACAAAATTGCGGATTACGGCTAAACTAAGCCGAAATCTAAAAAAAGTTATTTAACATTTTCGACTTATTATTGCATGTAGAATCTGAATCTGCATAGCCCGCTACGCTTTACTGAAACACCCTGTATTTAACTACAGTAGGTATCTAAAGTAGTTATGAGTTAACATTTTGTCCCTGATCATTAATATCCAAAGATTATGAATTAATTAAGTTTAATTGTATATTTTGACCATTCCCCGACGAAAATCAACTAATAGTTTTCTTTTTCCTCTCTGATTGCATACGAATTAACAATATAATATTAACAAATTCTTCGACGTCGGTGCATCTCTCCCACTAAACATGTACATGTGAGTGCAGTGTGCAGTGCTAACGTCTTGGCGGTGGCTGAGGGGAAAGGATAGCGATGTCTAAGCCAAGCCAAGTGAATTTATGGAAATTATTTTGCGCCTTCAATGCGTGAAAGGCAAGTCATTTACAGTTCGTCTCCGCTCACAATCAAAGATGCTTAGAAGGCGCTCAAGTTAGATTGAATTGAGTTTGGGCCTTGTCAAATTTTGGCAAAAGACAAAATGAATGTCCTTTGCTAAAATAATTTAAATTTAATTATTTTTTAATTTGCACAAGGTGTTATTTACTTTTACTTTCTCCCCTTATACCATAGTATATAGAGAAAGTATTGTTTTCGTCAAAATTTTCGAGTTTGAGTTTTGAGTGGATATATTCGTTTTGGGTCCCCCTGGACCCAAAAAAGTGGTTTTCGAAGTGATGTCTGTGTGTCTGGATGTGTACAGAGCTAGGGACTACACCTGTGGTCCGATTTCGATGAAATTTGGTATGTAGGTTCTAATCCATGGTATCTCCTGGCGTTTTTTTTTCATTTTTTTTTTTGGAATTTGGATTTTTAATGGGAATTTTCTCATAAAAAACAGGAAAAATCGAATTTTTTCAAAAATGGCCCCGAACGATTTATGTTGTAGCCCTTTAAATTCTGAACAAAATGGTACAAATCCAATTTCTGTAAAATTACGGTTCAAGAGTTATTGTAAATTATGTTATTTTCCCATAAAACCCTATAAAATAACGAAAAATAGGATTTTCCCAAAAATGGCCCGAACGATTTTGTTAAAAATTTAGTATGTTATAGTCCTTTAAATTATGGACAAAATTGTACAAATCCCATTTCCGTATATTTACTCTCACCGCTTGCACATGATAAAGGTTGTTGACAAACTTATGGGAGAAAGTATGTGTCAGAATGATGATAGCCTACCGTTTATTTTATTTTAAGGTAACCAGAGGCCAAAAACACAGTTTCTCTAATCACATACAAGTTTATAATTTCATTCTAAGCCTATGTAGAGCTAAAAAATAATATTGAAGCGGTTTTTTATGCTGCGAAGAAAATTCTATACAACAGTAAATTTAAAATTCCCCCATTATTATTATGGGAAATAAATAAACTCATTTAGTTTGCATGTTTATGGATGTATGTTGATCACATTTGGCAAATTTATTTATTACATCTTAAGCTAAAAGGAATGCACTAAAACACTTTTACGTTCCCAGTAGCAGCAAACCTTCGTAACTATTAAAATTAATGTTATTCAAATAGGAAATAAATCTGACAATTTTAAGGGCCTATTTTAGTGGAAATCCAGCCAGGTAGAAGGAAATTTGCTTAGTCTGCAAGTTCCTGTGGCGGGGGTATTTTTTAAGCTGTATACGATGGCTGTAATACAAATTTGGCATTTTCTTGTTAAAAAAACTGATATTTGAAATACTTAAAACCAGGTTTATGACCCGATCATGCTGGTTCGGGAGCTCATACAAATTAAATCCAATTTTATGCTTTTGGACCGATTTTTATGAAATTTAGCATGAAGGTCAATACTACCGTCCTCTGGTCCTCAGCCTATGTTAATAGCTTCACCTTTTTAGGAAAGTTTGCTAAAATGTAGGACCATCCTTTACATCAAAAAACAATCGGCAATTCATTGTGATCCTTAAGGTGGTCTAAAAGTAGGAATCAGATATGGAGTAAAACACATTCTAACATCTAAGAATCGGAGTTGGAAACAGTTTTGGAATCGACCCATTACTACTAAAAATTTGAAACAATGAACAAATTTTATACAGTTTTTATCCTGGAGATCCAAAAAAAGTTTTTAATTAATATGAACTTCTAGCTTTAAAACACAAAATATCTCACTCTTATATACAAGTTTGAAAAAGTTTAAGCGAGAAAAATAATTAAGTTATTTTGTTTACAGGTTATTGATTGCGGACGTACCAAAGGTAAGAACTTTGTGTGATGCCTTGTGTTGGTTTGGAGTGTTTGGACTTCATTTAGACCAAGAGACAATCTACATCTGTCAAAGTTAGGAATCTGATGGGGGTGAACTTATCTTATCTTGTAGGGGTGGGCCGGAGCCACAAAAGTACTTAATTCAAATTTGTGAGTGATTGCGCAGCCCAATAAAGTGTTGTGTTTGAGAGACCAATATCCAAGCACCTGATAATGCCTGTAGTTCACTTCCTCCTCAGGAAGGTGATTCCCTTTCACCAGATACGCTGCGGATTCGTATCCAAATCCAAGCCGCAGCACAATTTGTCTTACGAAGTTTCATGTATGGGGTTTCCTAGACTGTGAATTAAATACGCGCATAACTAATATGCGCGTTCTAATTTTTGCGGCTTAGACTGACGGGAAAGCAGTCAGTAAGACGCCCAACACAATGGAGCAAACATGACCTTCCTTTAAGTGCAGTGGCAAAAGTAAACTTTACTTGTAGTAATTTATGTAGAGCTCATTAATTAGGTGTCGGAATAGGCCTACGACATTTTGTGGAAGTATAAATGTATACAGGGTGATTGGTACTCAGTGTGACAAAACTTTTTTTGTGTAAGTACAAAGTAAATGAAGTGTGATGATGCATATCAAATGTTACAAGTCTAAAAATTAGCTTCCCAAAAGATTATTTTTTTTTAGCGAATTTCCCTATAGGGAAGTAGCTATTACCGTAGGTGGCACGGTAAGACCTAGACCCGGGACCAATTTACTTTTTCATTTTGATGTCCCCAGAGGCCAAAAACACTATTCGTTCAAATTTTTATATATGTATATATATATATATATATATAGACATATATATATATATATACGTCCGTGAACGCGATAACTTGAGTAATTTTTGTCCGATTTTGATGAAATTTGGTTTAAAGGTGTAAAGCGGGATAAACTTGAATGAGTTCGCGAACCAGCACGATCGGACCATGGGAACGGGGCTTTACAGGGGGTTTTATGGGGTAAAAATTGGTTTTTCTCACTTTTGACCCTCAAAACACAAAATTTCCCAATTTCTCTTTAGACCTTTTTAAAGAGCTTAAAAAAACAAATAATTTAGTATGTAAAAGTATTTTTGTTCGATTATTAGTAACGGAGAAAAATAAAAAATTGTAAATTTAAAATTCCCATGTTATTCTTATGGAGAATTTGTCAAATGTTGTAGTTTGCTTGTTTATGAATATATTTTGATCAAACTTGGCAAATTTATTTATTTTGTACTAAGCTATCAATATTTTACTCAAAAACACACTTTATTAGTTTCCTTGTAGCAGCAAACCTAGGTACTCGTTAAACCTAATATTATTAAAATATATTTAACTGAAAATCAATTCAGACAAATGGAAATTCGCTTAGTCGGCAGGTTTGCTGCGGCGGGGGTATTTTAAATAACCATGCTTTTAAACGTAATACAGCAATTTATTATTACCTGTATATGGATTTGAGTAGATAATGTCATTTTCGTGTTCTACATTAAATTTTGAACAAGAATAATAGAAAAATGACGGAGGTACAGTTGTAAAACCTCCATTGTAAATGGATATAAAGATAGAAATTAAGATGTTTGATAAAAATTTATAAAACAATGGTCTATTGCATTTTTCACACCCTGTATACAAGAAAGTGTCGGAATATGTTAAAATCTGCGGCGTTTTATAAGCTTTTCAACCATAATGAACCATAATGATATGTAGTCGGCTTTAAGTAAAATAAATAGAAATAGGCTAATGGTTTTTTTTTTACACTAAAAACACTAAAAAACAAGATCAGCTCTTTGAAAAAAGATAAGATATTTACAAAAGATTTTGATTATATCTAACTGTTGTGTAGATCATGAGTATTTCCATAATCTTTGAGTCGCATGTAATGCTTCGAAATTGCTCGAATTCGAGCAACAGGTACACTAGTTTTATTGAATTTAAAAATACCACACTCTCAGTGCCGGTTCCAGTTGAGTGATCGAGTCTTTGGTGGTGCCTTTAAAGGGCCACAATCTCAGTGCGCATCCAGTGGAGTGATCGCGTCTTTGGTGGTGCCTTTAAAGGGCCACATTCTTAGTGCCGCGTCCAGTGCAGTGATCGAATCTTTGGTGGTGCCTTTAAAGGGCCACACTCTTAGTGCCGTGACCAGTGAGTGCTCGAGTCTTTGGTGGTGCCTTTAAAGGGCCACACTCTCAGTGCCGCGTCCAGTGGAGTCATCGAGTCTTTGGTGGTGCCTTTAAAGGGACATACACCTAGTGCCGCGTCCAGTGAGTGCTCGAGTCTTTGGTGGTGCCTTTAAAGGGCCACACTCTCAGTGCAGCGTCCAGTGGAGTGATCGAGTCATCTGTGGTGCCTCTAAAGATACACACTTTTAATGCAGCAGCCAGTGGAGTGTTCGAGTCATCGGTGGTGCCTCTAAAGGGTCACACTCTCAATGCCGCATCCAGTGGAGTAATCACGTCTTTGGTGGTGCCTTTAAAGGGCCACATTCTTAGTGCCGCGTCAAGTGAGTGCTCGAGTCTTTGGTGGTGCCTTTAAAGGGCCACAATCTCAGTGCCGTGACCAGTGATTGATCGAGTCTTTGGTGGTGCCTTTAAAGGGCCACACTCTAAGTGCCGCGTCCAGTGAGTGCTCGAGTCTTTGGTGGTACCTTTAAAGGGCCACACTCTCAGCGTCGCGTCCAGTGGAGTGATCACGTCTTTGGTGGTGCCTTTAAAGGGCCACATTCTTAGTGTGGCGTCCAGTGAGTGATCGAGTCTTTGGTGGTGCCTTTAAAGGGCCACACTCTCAGTGCAGCGTCAGGTGGAGTGATCGAGTCATCACTGGTGCCTCTAAAGATCTACACTTTTAATGCAGCAGCCAGTGGAGTGTTCGAGTCATCGGTGGTGCCTCTAAAGGGTCACACTCTCAATGCCGCATCCAGTGGAGTAATCACGTCTTTGGTGGTGCCTTTAAAGGGCCACATTCTTAGTGCCGCGTCAAGTGAGTGCTCGAGTCTTTGGTGGTGCCTTTAAAGGGCCACAATCTCAGTGCCGCATCCAGTGTAGTAATCGAGTCTTTGGTGGTGCCTTTAAAGGGCCACACTCTCAATGCCGCATCCAGTGGAGTAATCGCGTCTTTGGTGGTGCCTTTAAAGGGCCACATTCTTAGGGCAGCGTCCAGTGGAGTGATCGAATCTTTGGTGGCGCCTTTAAAGGGCCACACTCTTAGTGCCGTGATCAGTGAGTGATCGAGTCTTTGGTGGTGCCTTTAAAGGGCCACACTCTAAGTGCCGTGACCAGTGAGTGATCGAGTCTTTGGTGGTGCCTTTAAAGGGCCACACTCTAAGTGCCGCGTCCAGTGAGTGCTCCAGTCTTTGGTGGTGCCTTTAAAGGGCCACATTCTTAGTGCCGCGTCCAGTGGAGTGATCAAATCTTTAGTTGTGTCTTTAAAGGGCCACACTCTCAGTGCCGCGTTCAGTGGAGTGATCGCGTCTTTGGTGGTGCCTTTAAAGGGCCACACTCTTACTGCCGTGACCAGTGAGTGTTCGAGTCTTTGGTGGTGCCTTTAAAGGGCCACACTCTCAGTGCCGCGTTCAGTGGAGTGATCGCGTCTTTGGTGGTGCCTTTAAAGGGCCACACTCTTACTGCCGTGACCAGTGAGTGATCGAGTTTTTGGTGGTGCCTTTAAAGGGCCACACTCTCAGTGCCGCGTTCAGTGGAGTGATCGCGTCTTTGGTGGTGCCTTTAAAGGGCCACACTCTTACTGCCGTGACCAGTGAGTGATCGAGTCTTTGGTGGTGCCTTTAAAGGGCCACACTCTCAGTGCCGCGTCAAGTGGAGTGATCGCGTTTTGGTGGTGCCTTTAAAGGGCCACACTCTTACTGCCGTGACCAGTAAGTGTTCGAGTCTTTGGTGGTGCCTTTAAAGGGCCACACTCTCAGTGCCGCGTTCAGTGGAGTGATCGCGTCTTTGGTGGTGCCTTTAAGGGCCACACTCTCAGTGCAGCGTCCAGTGGAGTGATCGAGTCATCAGTGGTGCCTCTAAAGATCTACACTTTTAATGAAGCAGCCAGTGGAGTGTTCGAGTCATCGGTGGTGCCTCTAAAGAGGCACACTGTCAGTGCCGGGTCCAGTTGAGTGATCGAGTCTTTGGTGGTGCCTTTAAAGGGTCACACTCTCAGTGCAGCGCCCAGTGGAGTGTTCGAGTCATCGGTGGTGCCTCCAAAGAGCTACACTTTTAATGCAGCAGCCAGTGGAGTGTTCGAGTCATCGGTGGTGCCTCCAAAGAGGCACACTGTCAGTGCCGGGTCCAGTTGAGTGATCGAGTCTTTGGTGGTGCCTTTAAAGGGCCACACTCTCAGTGCCGCGTCCAGTGGAGTAATCGAGTCTTTGGTGGTGCCTTTAAAGGGCCACAATCAAAGTGCCGCGTCCAGTGAGTCTTCGAGTCTTTGGTGGTGCCTTTAAAGGGCCACACTCTCAGTGCCGCGTTCAGTGGAGTGATCGCGTCTTTGGTGGTGCCTTTAAAGGGCCACACTCTTACTGCCGTGACCAGTGAGTGATCGAGTTTTTGGTGGGGCCTTTAAAGGGCCACAATCTCAGTGCCGCGTTCAGTGGAGTGATCGCGTCTTTGGTGGTGCCTTTAAAGGGCCACACTCTTACTGCCGTGACCAGTGAGTGATCGAGTCTTTGGTGGTGCCTTTAAAGGGCCACACTCTCAGTGCCGCGTCAAGTGGAGTGATCGCGTTTTGGTGGTGCCTTTAAAGGGCCACACTCTTACTGCCGTGACCAGTAAGTGTTCGAGTCTTTGGTGGTGCCTTTAAAGGGCCACACTCTCAGTGCCGCGTTCAGTGGAGTGATCGCGTCTTTGGTGGTGCCTTTAAAGGGCCACACTCTTACTGCCGTGACCAGTGAGTGATCGAGTTTTTGGTGGTGCCTTTAAAGGGCCACACTCTCAGTGCAGCGTCCAGTGGAGTGATCGAGTCATCAGTGGTGCCTCTAAAGATCTACACTTTTAATGAAGCAGCCAGTGGAGTGTTCGAGTCATCGGTGGTGCCTCTAAAGGGTCACACTCTCAGTGCAGCGCCCAGTGGAGTGTTCGAGTCATCGGTGGTGCCTCCAAAGAGCTACACTTTTAATGCAGCAGCCAGTGGAGTGTTCGAGTCATCGGTGGTGCCTCCAAAGAGGCACACTGTCAGTGCCGGGTCCAGTTGAGTGATCGAGTCTTTGGTGGTGCCTTTAAAGGGCCACACTCTCAGTGCCGCGTCCAGTGGAGTAATCGAGTCTTTGGTGGTGCCTTTAAAGGGCCACAATCAAAGTGCCGCGTCCAGTGAGTCTTCGAGTCTTTGGTGGTGCCTTTAAAGGGCCACACTCTCAGTGCCGCGTTCAGTGGAGTGATGGCGTCTTTGGTGGTGCCTTTAAAGGGCCACACTCTTACTGCCGTGACCAGTGAGTGATCGAGTTTTTGGTGGGGCCTTTAAAGGGCCACACTCTCAGTGCCGCGTTCAGTGGAGTGATCGCGTCTTTGGTGGTGCCTTTAAAGGGCCACACTCTTACTGCCGTGACCAGTGAGTGATCGAGTCTTTGGTGGTGCCTTTAAAGGGCCACACTCTCAGTGCCGCGTCAAGTGGAGTGATCGCGTTTTGGTGGTGCCTTTAAAGGGCCACAATCTCAGTGCCGCGTTCAGTGGAGTGATCGCGTCTTTGGTGGTGCCTTTAAAGGGCCACACTCTTACTGCCGTGACCAGTGAGTGATCGAGTCTTTGGTGGTGCCTTTAAAGGGCCACACTCTCAGTGCCGCGTCAAGTGGAGTGATCGCGTTTTGGTGGTGCCTTTAAAGGGCCACACTCTTACTGCCGTGACCAGTAAGTGTTCGAGTCTTTGGTGGTGCCTTTAAAGGGCAACTCTCAGTGCCGCGTTCAGTGGAGTGATCGCGTCTTTGGTGGTGCCTTTAAAGGGCCACACTCTCAGTGCAGCGTCCAGTGGAGTGATCGAGTCATCAGTGGTGCCTCTAAAGATCTACACTTTTAATGAAGCAGCCAGTGGAGTGTTCGAGTCATCGGTGGTGCCTCTAAAGGGTCACACTCTCAGTGCAGCGCCCAGTGGAGTGTTCGAGTCATCGGTGGTGCCTCCAAAGAGCTACACTTTTAATGCAGCAGCCAGTGGAGTGTTCGAGTCATCGGTGGTGCCTCCAAAGAGGCACACTGTCAGTGCCGGGTCCAGTTGAGTGATCGAGTCTTTGGTGGTGCCTTTAAAGGGCCACACTCTCAGTGCCGCGTCCAGTGGAGTAATCGAGTCTTTGGTGGTGCCTTTAAAGGGCCACAATCAAAGTGCCGCGTTCAGTGGAGTGATCGCGTCTTTGGTGGTGCCTTTAAAGGGCCACACTCTTACTGCCGTGACCAGTGAGTGATCGAGTTTTTGGTGGGGCCTTTAAAGGGCCACAATCTCAGTGCCGCGTTCAGTTGAGTGATCGCGTCTTTGGTGGTGCCTTTAAAGGGCCACACTCTTACTGCCGTGACCAGTGAGTGATCGAGTCTTTGGTGGTGCCTTTAAAGGGCCACACTCTCAGTGCCGCGTCAAGTGGAGTGATCGCGTTTTGGTGGTGCCTTTAAAGGGCCACACTCTTACTGCCGTGACCAGTAAGTGTTCGAGTCTTTGGTGGTGCCTTTAAAGGGCCACACTCTCAGTGCCGCGTTCAGTGGAGTGATCGCGTCTTTGGTGGTGCCTTTAAAGGGCCACACTCTTACTGCCGTGACCAGTGAGTGATCGAGTTTTTGGTGGTGCCTTTAAAGGGCCACACTCTCAGTGCCGCGTTCAGTGGAGTGATCGCGTCTTTGGTGGTGCCTTTAAAGGGCCACACTCTCAGTGCAGCGTCCAGTGGAGTGATCGAGTCATCAGTGGTGCCTCTAAAGATCTACACTTTTAATGAAGCAGCCAGTGGAGTGTTCGAGTCATCGGTGGTGCCTCTAAAGGGTCACACTCTCAGTGCAGCGCCCAGTGGAGTGTTCGAGTCATCGGTGGTGCCTCCAAAGAGCTACACTTTTAATGCAGCAGCCAGTGGAGTGTTCGTGTCATCGGTGGTGCCTCCAAAGAGGCACACTGTCAGTGCCGGGTCCAGTTGAGTGATCGAGTCTTTGGTGGTGCCTTTAAAGGGCCACACTCTCAGTGCCGCGTCCAGTGGAGTAATCGAGTCTTTGGTGGTGCCTTTAAAGGGCCACAATCAAAGTGCCGCGTCCAGTGAGTCTTCGAGTCTTTGGTGGTGCCTTTAAAGGGCCACACTCTCAGTGCCGCGTCAAGTGGAGTGATCGCGTTTTGGTGGTGCCTTTAAAGGGCCACACTCTTACTGCCGTGACCAGTAAGTGTTCGAGTCTTTGGTGGTGCCTTTAAAGGGCCACACTCTCAGTGCCGCGTTCAGTGGAGTGATCGCGTCTTTGGTGGTGCCTTTAAAGGGCCACACTCTCAGTGCAGCGTCCAGTGGAGTGATCGAGTCATCAGTGGTGCCTCTAAAGATCTACACTTTTAATGAAGCAGCCAGTGGAGTGTTCGAGTCATCGGTGGTGCCTCTAAAGGGTCACACTCTCAGTGCAGCGCCCAGTGGAGTGTTCGAGTCATCGGTGGTGCCTCCAAAGAGCTACACTTTTAATGCAGCAGCCAGTGGAGTGTTCGAGTCATCGGTGGTGCCTCCAAAGAGGCACACTGTCAGTGCCGGGTCCAGTTGAGTGATCGAGTCTTTGGTGGTGCCTTTAAAGGGCCACACTCTCAGTGCCGCGTCCAGTGGAGTAATCGAGTCTTTGGTGGTGCCTTTAAAGGGCCACAATCAAAGTGCCGCGTCCAGTGAGTCTTCGAGTCTTTGGTGGTGCCTTTAAAGGGCCACACTCTCAGTGCCGCGTTCAGTGGAGTGATCGCGTCTTTGGTGGTGCCTTTAAAGGGCCACACTCTTACTGCCGTGACCAGTGAGTGATCGAGTTTTTGGTGGGGCCTTTAAAGGGCCACACTCTCAGTGCCGC